CTCCATTGGAAAGTGGACAGGACTTAATGACCTAACCCCCCCCCCCCCAAAAAAAAAAAAAAAGCACCAGAATTCAGAGAGAATGAGTGTGTGGTTTTCTGGCCTACACAGCACAGCTTCCTCCTTACTCTTCAGAGGAAGCCAGCTGTGAGGATCCTCAAGCAGCCCCCTGGAGAGGTCCATGTGGGGGAGGAAGAGAGGCCTCCTGCCAACTACTCTGAAAAACTCACCAGATGTGTGAGTAAATTACCTTGGAGGCAGAACCTCTAGCCCCAGGAAGCCTTCAAATGTCTGCAACTTTGATCAACATCTTAACTGTAACCTTATGGCATATCCTGAGCTAGACCCACTTAGCTAAGCAGATCCCAGATCCCTAGCCCACAGAAACCATGCAATAATAAATGTTTGTTATTTGAAACCACTAAGTTTTGGGGACAATTCATTGTACAGCAAGAGATACATAATAGAGTTCTAAAGATTTTTGTTTGTTTTGACATTTAGGTCTTAACACATCTGGACTTGCTTTTTGTATATGTTGTATATAGTGATCCATCTAGATTTTTCCTCACATGGATGACACTTCCTCCCCCCTGCTGTTCTTACTGACATAATCATGGTCACACGCCAAAGTGCTCTGTGTGCACTGTTTCAGAGCCCTTATTCTATTCTACTGGTCAGTTTTCCAATTCGTGTGCCAACATCACATTCTTGTAATTACTACAGTTTTGTAGTAAGTCCTAATATCCAGAAGGGAATGTTCTCCAGCCCACGGTCTTTAAAATTATACAGGTTATTCTTGATCCTTTACTCTTCCATATATAGTATATTTGGGATCATTTTATTAAGTTCTCTGAAAAACCTTTTGGGAAGTTTGATTGGAATTGAGTTGAATCTGTGAATCATTTGGAGACAATTGATGTTTTTATGATGTAAGGTTTTCTAGCCATGATAATTCTTATTTCTTATTTCATTCATTTTGTAATTAAAAATTCTTAATAAATTTTATAAATTAACTTTATAATTAAAATTTATTAATAAATTTCTACAAACTTCTGTATGGAGTCTTGATTTCCTTTTTAACTGATGAATTACTTAACCCTTGCAGTTTTAAAAAAAAATTCACATGAGCAATCCTCTACCATTTCTTTTCCTATATTATCTTTACCCAGTTATGTTAAGCTGCCTTCTACCCCAGACAAATTTACTACCCACCTCCACTCACCTGTCAAAACAACCTCTTCTCACCAACTTTCTCTCTTTTTGTGGTTGATCTTGGTGACGGGCCCAAATTCATAGTAATACAGCATTTTGTTCAGAATTAAAATCAGAAGTCTTTTACAAACTTCTTCCAAACCATGCTCTCTGAAACTGAATTCAATGCCTACGAGGAGGTTCTGGGATTACATTCTCAGGGAAAAGTCCTAGGAATAATCTAACTTCATCTCTTGAGTTACTGCCCAATATATAAGTTCCCTACAAGATGTAGGGGCAGAACAAGAGAAGAGATGTTTGTAGTTTGATGTGATGAGCTACACTTCCAGGATACCTTTGAGTTCCCTTTAGGATGCCAACTCTCTTAAAGGCAGACAAGCCTTATCCTAGGAGATTCCATGCTGGGCTCTGGTGTTACAGTATAAATATGAGGACAGCCTAGGAGTTCTGGGAGGGGGAGTGTGCAGAAACCTGCTGACTGTTTCAAAAATGTTGTATGTAGGCATATTGGAATATATAGTTTTTTACTTATCTGATATGAAGGGGTATCTGCCTTAAGCAAATTTCCAGACAATTGGAGCTGACCTTTAAGCACCAATAATTTTATGTTAACCATTTTGATGGAACTCTAAATCATATTTCATACCTCTTTGAATATGTTTCTGTATGTCTTCTTTATAGCAAATATTGAACATGATTTAACCTTTTCTCAAAAATGTACGGGCTTCTTGAATACCAATTTTACTTTGCTAATATAGTGATTCCCTCAGGACCGATATCCACTCAGGTGYTTTAATCTTGTTCTTATTCTGTTTAACAAGTATTTTTTGAGCGATGATTGTGTGCTGGATACTATTCGGTGCTCTTTTCACAGTTATTTTCTCTCCCCATTTCTAATCTACTGATGCCACTGGAAAACCACATGCCTCAAGCTCACTCAAATTGCTAGAGGGAGTAAATCTGAGATTGGCTGTCTCTCCTTCAGGGGAACAGATTCTTGTTCCTCATTACTAGTAGGCTGTTGGTTTTTAATTTGGGAAGTTGAGATTGTTCATTGCTTTTGGATAAGGGACTCAACATTAGAACTGAGAAATGTAGGCAATGATTCTGATTTGCTAACTTGACTCTCTCTGTTTACAAGGGTCTCCTTGTCCAGGTTTGCTCTCTGCCAGGGTGGCTACTGGAGCTCCTAGTTTTCCAGGAAAATCTCTTACTTGAAGATATTTTGCTTACCTTTTACTGAACAAAGCTGCTCTTTTTTGGATATAATTGTACTGGAAAAAAAGAAGAAAGGACATTGATAACTAAGCAAATTTTGGAAGTTATCACTTTCAAATGAAATTCAGTGAGCCATCAATTAAAACTTAATTTAGAAAACATTTTATAAATTCTTGTCATATGTATAAGCACRTGTAATTTTCAAAGATGAAAAGTCTTTTACATATTATTATTTTCATTATCATTTTACATACTGCCATAAATAAATGGAGGCACACAAAGGTAAAGTAGAAGATCATATAATTAGCAAGTAGCTGAGCCAGGTCTGGAAACTGGGCCATTGGACTCCACCTTGTTGGTTCTCAAAACTCTACAAGTCTACTTTCTACTTAGCCTGTGGTCCTAGAGAGGCTTATAGGCCATAACAAGCAGACAAGCATTTTCTAAGATATGTTTTAAAAGCTATAAAATCTAAAAATGAGGATATATTCTGGATATCTGTGGCATCTCTCATCCAAGATATTTTCTCAGTTATTTCATTGTCCTTTTAATTAACTTGTGAGATCAAAAAGAAGAGAAATTATGATAACATTTTAGGGGTGTGGAAATGAAGCTCCCAGAATTGGAATTAGAAATAAACTTTTTGAACTACAAGTAGAGACCTAGAGCTTGATGAGACTATGAGGTATTTGGCAGTTGCTCAGGTAGCCAGCCCCTCTATCAAGTTGCTCTAATGTCTCTAGTTACTGAACCATCATGTGGCTCTGATWCGCCTGGTGAAGACAGCTCTACTTTACTCGATAACTAGTTAGAAGGAATACTTTGATGAGACATGGGTATATATGGTGGAGCATGCTAAGCTTGGTTCTAGGAAGTTGGGTTCAGTTAATTTCAAGAGTCTCATTTGCTGAGTGGAATGTTCAAGCTTGGGGACYAGAATAGCAGGGACTATGGTCATCATGGAGATGGTCTAACATTTTCCGAGCCTCTGGAGGGTTTCAGAACAATGGCGAATGGTTGATATTTTCTTTTAAGTTAGAGATGAGTGATTTTTTTTTTCTGAAATTACCATTTATCTTGACTACCCAAAAATATTGGCAATTGCCAACTTTGGCTTTGAAGTCAATAAATTATAAAATAAGAGTCCAATGAAAGTTTATCTTTTAACCCTGTGTGCTTGCTGCTATGAGACATCAAACAGTCCATAAGGACTGGTGTTCTACATCTGGAAAGGTCTTCAGGCCTTTCCCCGTGAGCTGGTGACTTCATGATGTTAAACAWGATGTTAAACATGGCACACTCAAGTGGTACCATAAAGAAGCAATAACTTTATGTGTTTTAACAGGCCAATTTTTGGTTAGATGATGATGAATGCCTAGTACTCTGTGCTATAAAAGACTTGGGACCATGTTAGGATCAAAGGGAAAGAGCTCTATCATTATATGTAGCATTTATTGGCCTCCTTTCTATTAATGCTCCTTTTGGCTTCCATTCTCTTAAGTTTTGTCTAGTTTTTGGAGATTCTATCATTTGCATGACTGTAAGAGAGAACAGCATAGTTTTTTTTTTTTAGCATATTGTTCATGTATTTAGCATTGGGATGCTTTGGAATTATAGCTGGTTATTCTCAGAAAATGTACGTGTTTGGTGGCTTACTTTTGGAAACCCCTTTAAAAGGCAATGATACCAAGAAGAGCTGAAGAGGGAATGGGTGCTTACCTCATTGTTTTGACTGTTACAATCTTTTCTCACAGATTCCATGCTTAAGACTTTTGATCTAGAGGGAAAAGAACCAAGAAAGGGATTGAATAAGGTATTCAAATATCCATACTACAGAGTGAGTATTTAAAAACAGCTTTATATTCCAAATCTGCTCTGCCAATATTGTAGCCATTGGCTACTTTTGGCTTTGTACCTTAATTAAATAAAAATTCAGACTCAGTATCTCTCAGGTACTTAGCAGTCACATGTTGTTAGTGGGCCACTTACTGGATAGCATACAAAGTTCTCTTGACAACCCCACTCTAGAATCCCAACAGTCAAGCTCTCACCTAGGAATCAACAAGGATCTAGAGAGATTTGAAGGTGTCTTTAGTAGGGAAGAACTCCAAGTCCTAGGACCTGGCTTCTAGGTCCCAGTTTGTACTTGTTCTATTAAGAGGGTTTAGGTGGTTTTGGTCTCCTGCTCTTGATTGAAAGATCCCCAAATATTTAATAAATAGAAATAATTTATGACTGAGTTAAGATTTAACTTCCAAAAAAGGGTCAAGAAATAGAGGTGAGATTTTTGGTTTTGGTTTCATGCCATTTGCTACTCTTGAAAACTTAGGACATATTTTTTTTTTGGGGGGAGACTTTCCTTAATCATTTTTGACTTCTAATGATCAATACAGTGTACAGTTCTGTAGTTTGTTTAGAGATGAGTTTCACACCTATCCCATGTAGTTGGGTTTGGTATATTTGAGGGAATATCCTACTTGTCAAGGTTCCAGGCCACTAACACTTTTTCAAATACATTTTTCTGCTCATAACATAAGCCCAAATAATAATGTGATAATGCAATAAAAGCATAGTGGGAGATGTGTTTCTGTAGTCTTTTAAGACTGGAATTTTAAAACTGCTATGGTCTAGCAGAGCTCTACCAGATCACTARCAGAGGGGAAAGATGTGGCATCGGGCTCATTCAATTCCAGATGGGAACTGGGCTGAGGGTGTTTGCTCTGACTCAGGCTGAGATGGAGTTACCACTAAACCAGGATGTTCCTTTGTTTGCCAAAGCTCACACTTCTCTCTCAAGGAATCGAGTCTCTAGTTCTTCTTCTATTTTCCTCAAAGTTTCTTGGTATTTCTTCAAAGAGAAATAAAGGAAGCCACAGTTACTACACTTAAGATGCTTTGTGTCTTTTCAAAGCATACAGCACTTATATTTTTAAGTCATAGCATGGATGGTAGGTATTCCTGTGCTACTTGCTCTGCCTTCATAGGCCCCAACCGCCTCTCCTCCTGCTCCCTTGTTAGTCTCTGTCCACTGGGTAGGTTCTCAGGGGTGTCTGGGATCAGAAACAGCAGAAGTGTTCCTTGTTACTCTAACAACACAGACATGGGAAGAGCAGGATGCTGATTACCAGGAGTTGGGGGACAATAGAGTGACATTAGTAGTAGGGTGTTGATGACCTCAAAATCCCTTTCAATACTGTCTTGAAGAGTTAAAAAAAAATTCTTCTAAATAGCATTCTTAGGACAGCCTGGTTCCATTCCATTTTGTGCCTAAACAAACCCTTTGCTTTCCCTTTCTCAAGAAGCTGTACCTTTATGCARAGGGCTTGATCTTCACAGAGCCGGGCCACAAATGCATAATCTTCCATTACCTGGGAAATCAAAATTGGGTCTGAAATTTCACTCAATATATTGTTGTAGGAGTATGGACCAAAATRTTCTAGATTTTTTTTCCTGTACATATGAATTAATTTCACTTTTTTTGAGGATTAATAAACCATAACTTACTGCCCAAATAGGAGTTATCTTGGAGAAGTTGGAAAGAGATACTAATTGGTAGAAGATGCAGATGATAGACTGTATCTTGCAAAACATGTTAAAGTGAAGGTACCCTAGGGGATTGTAGCCATCTTCCTTCTCTTACTACCTTCTAGCCCCGTGATGGTCTTAAGTATAGAACCTGATTATGTCAATCATTTGAGGAATGCATTAGATTATCTGACTGAGGATCAAGCTTCCCTTCTTGGGGAGAAGGAACACTGAAGTCCCTATGGTTACCTTGACCAGCTCCTTTTCTTGGTCTGCACAGGAAGCTTCCAGCTGTTGTAACTTAACCTGTAGAAAGGAAAGGAGATGGCTAACTTAGCAAGGTGAAAACTGTACAGGAATAGCATGTTATCTTATAGCTGCACCCACAGGCTGCTGAAGAGCATAAGGCCATAATTTCAGATGTCTGTTTGATAGAGGAGTTAAACATCCAATGCTCTTTGCGGCTGCTTGGTGAACATACTCTTCTACATCTAGTATTTATCTGGTGCTATCTTCATTCTTGGACTTCAATTCTTAGCTTCTTTCTCTTACTTAGCTATTTCTCTTGGAGATAACATTAGTCTTGAAAACTTTGCTCATTCTTTCACCTTTATATAGCTAGTCAGAATCCAAGGCTTTTACTTACTCCTTTCTCTCTCTCTTTCTTCTTCCTTCTTTTACTTTCTTACATATTCAGTTAAAGACTATTTTGTATCAACCACTAAGCTAATGTGAAGTGGGCTGGGGAGGGTAGTGCTGAGGTTCTAGTGGGGAGCAGGGAAGATGGCTCTCCTCCCTCACAGAACTGACGTTCTAGCTGGGAGACAGAACAGATAGGTTAACAAGGCAATGGCTTGTGCCATGAAGGAAATAAAACCAGATCAATGTGACAAGAGGAAGTGCTGGTGTGAGAAGATGATGTGACAAGGACATGGGAAAACCTTCTCTTGAGTTGAAATCTAAATAGTAAATATCAGCCAAATGGAGATTTGGAAGAAATATGTTGCATGGGGAGGTCATTTTAAAAGCCAAGAGCAGGAAGTAACATAAATTTGGTATCTATGAAGTCGAGGGGTCTGGTATGTAGGTGAAGRGATGGGTTGTATAGGACCATGTAGCTTCTAGAAAGTTTGATGCTTTATTCCAATTGCAGTGGGAAGCCAGGAGAGGGCTTGAAATGTAAGGATGCAATCTAATTTGTGATTTTTTWAAAAATAGTTTTTTTTCTGTGCATGGAAAATGGATTTTGTAGGTAGGGGTAAGTATAGAAGCTGGGGGATGAGTTATGAGGTGACCTCAGTCATCCAGGTTATGRTAGCTTGTGACAGAAGGGTAGTAGTAACAGTAACCGAGAGGAAGTRTGCATTGAGGATATGTATTGGAGGTTGAGCAGATGTACCATCCCTCCTTCTCTTTTCAGCCCTACTTTCACCTGGATGCCATTATTTGACATCCATCCCCATCTCCCATTCCAAAAATTATGTCTGGGGTCCATCAGCCAGATTTTCATAAGCTATAAATTCAAGCCAGTGATGTGAATCACAGGGGTTGAAGCAGGATCCCAGGAAGCTTCTGAACTGATCAACAGCAGAGGAACAGAAGCAAAAGAGTTGCTGCTATATATTTCATGCATTTAGAGATTTAATGCATTTACCACCTGGGAATTTACAGAATAGAYGTTTCAAAGGGCTAATAAAACACTAGAACTCCTTAGGACTGAGCTGAGTGCTGCTAGCAAAATAGTGAGGGTGGCTGTGACAAAGGCTGGGACTTTATCAATTTGTCAGCTAAGCTTGGCTGACATAGTCAGTACAGGAAGACCTAACATGACATGGCTGGGTTCTGTCTGGGGATTACCTCTAGAAAAACCTGTTCTGAGCAAAATCAAGGACCTTGGAAGAAAATTTGTCTCCTGACAGTGGCGGTCATATAGCAAACACAATCAGCCAGGGGTTGGATCTCCTTTCAACAGGGATCCGAGCCTTTAGAGGAGGTCCAAGAAAGCACACAATCCTATTTGAGGTTCCCTCCAGGGACATATAGTCCATCCCATTATTCCCGATGATTCTGAGGCTATAGTGGGAATAGAGCCTGGGGGTTGGGGGATTCTCTGAGATCACACGTTTGCAGATGGAGTGGTAACAAGGGTGTAATCGGGGAGAGGGCACAGCAGTTTGCAAAGGTCCTGAGATGGGAAAGATCTGGGCCCTGCAACTGGGAGTCCAAAGCTTAAAGAAACTGAGAGAGGTCAGAGAGGGGTCAAGGGGCTGAGAGTAGCTCTATCCTTAGGGTGGTGGAAAGCCTGAGAGGTTGTGTGGAGGGGCTGTTTGTCAGATCCAGATGATTCTGGGATATCTGGAGTGCTGGTGGGGCTGTCCTTCCTCCCTTACAGCCTCTTTCTAGTGAGCCTTAATGGTGGCCCATTAAGCCCTAAAAGTGTTCCCAACCCTTTCTAATCCAAACACCAATTTCGTCCTGATGCATTCTCAGAYTCTGATTTCTTTCTTCCCAGGTATGTTTCCTGGATGAACACAGCCCAGCAAACCTACTTGGTGACTTCAGACTTGTTGCTTTTGTGACCACCAATACTAAATTGGCCAGAAAGAGGTAGGGGAATAATACTATATACTTGCATTTTCTGCTTCTATTTTCAGTGTATACATTTCTTCAGAGGCTTCATACACACTCTGAATTGTGGGCTTTAGAAGGTAAAGAGAAATCAGATAAGGACAGAGATGTAATTCTGGAGAAAGGGTCAAGAAAGAATTCTATCTGCTTGCTTAATTTAATCTGCTTTCTGAATTAAAAACAGTCTTTAATTCTTGTTTTTTGATCAGATGGGTTGTGGTTGGTCCCAGGCTCTTAGCTCTGGAACACAATTAGAGAAATATTAAGCATTGAATGTTGTATGATTAGGAAGTAGAGGTTATTAAATACTTGAGTGACTAATTGAGTAAATCCTTTTTTGGGCTGGAAACAGTAACAGCACTCAGTCGACTTACAAATCCTAGTTTTGCCTCTATGAATTCATATACACACCTCAGCCTTGTTTTTAAACAACTGTAAAATTGTGTGACTTGTAAGAGTTCGGTTATCCAAAGAAGGAAAGAATATATTATATACACAATCTCATGTAATTCTCAAATTGAGATTGGGAGGAAGTGATTAAATTGCCCAACTTCGTACACCAAATTAAATGCTGGAGCTAGGATTTAAATGAGGGACTACAGCTGCCTCAAGTGCAATGTGTGTGTGTGTGTGTGTGTGTGTGTGTGTGGTGTATGTATGAGTGTGTGTCTATGTATAGACACATATATATGTATATAAGGAGGGGTGCTCTCTTCTTCCTAATAGAAGAAAGAACAAAAATTCTGGCTTCAGAGATTCTTTACTAAGGCAAAGGAGGAGAAATTGGCACTCAGTGGCTCAGGCTTAAGCTGTATATGAACAAAAAATACAAAGAATTTATCAAAATTTTGACAACTGTTTCCAACTTGACAGCCTATTTTCTGGTCAGGTAGCCCAAACCCATTCAGCATTTCTTTTTCATTTACCGTTGAGTCTTCTGGAGTTTCATCCTGGTCACCTTCTTCATGCTTGTTTTTCTTTCGTGATTTCCTGGTAAGCTATAGTTTTGAATGAGAAATATATCTCAAATAAAAGCATGCATTCAATAAAAGAAAACAAATACACCCTCTGGTGGATCAGTCACTTTGGTTTGATGAAAGCCACCAGGAGATGGTCCCTTGTGAAATACCTAGTGTCCTGTGGACACACCTTTGCTCTACCTCTATCTCCTTCCCACATTACGTTGTTCACCAGAGTTAGTGACCACTCAAAGCAAGAGGACTTCCTGGAGCCCCTGATTCATGTTGGGCTACTCAGGGCTGCAGACCTGAGTCAGAGAGCAGGGTAAGCCTAGGAAGCCCCGTGCAATCTGAAGGAGGGTTGCATTGGAGGAAATAGGTGGAGAAATAAGAGCACCTCTTTGGGGATTAAGTTAGTTGTATGTGTTTTAAACTCTCTATTGGAAGTAAAATTAACCTCTCACCATAAAAATCCCAGTTAGTCACATGGGCAACATTGTCTGCTGGAATTCATTTTCTTGTGATAAAATGAAGAACCCATGGGATTACTAAATACCTCATTCACTCCTTTCYCCTCATGCTTGCGGAGAACATCTATGGCATTTAGGTCATGAGCTTTGGTCTTGGGAAGTGGGTCAGAGGTGGTCTCTACTCCAAGCTTAGGCCTCTTTGACACATGGGTTCCTTCATGATCACTTTCCCTCCCTTGCCTCCTTGGTGAATGGGGATGCTGTGGGGATACTGGGAGCACAGAGCTCCACCCTACCTTTCTTTGAAGTTCCGTTATACTGTGGACCAGAGTCTCATTCTTTCTTTCCTGGGGTGAGAAAGCAGAGGCATAAGTCTGCATCAGTAGTACATCTCTGTCTGTTCTTATTTAGCTGACTGTTGTTCATTTCACCCCAGTAATGTTTTCCTGCAGTAACTCCATCTTACTTGCCTACTGTAAGTAGATCCTGAGATCAAACAAAGGTGAAGTATGCACCAGCTCACGGGGGAAATAGGGATATAGATAGGCGGGGCTTCCCAATATTCACCATTACCAAAGAAACCCTGCTTCCCACACATTCCCTTCCATGCATGAATATATTCTGTCATGCTTTCTGAGTTGATAATTCATCATATGTAAAAAGGGGAGACCAGCTCAGCTGACCGTCAATGAAGGACAGGCTGAAGAATAAAACCTATTGAATGGTGTTTCCTGGCTTCCCACTTACTAGTCTGGCTGTTTCTTCCTCCACCTCCTGCAAGGCTTTTTCCCTTTCCATGGTGGCACAGTTTTCTTTCTCCCATTCCTCATCTTCTACAGCATCTCTTATTTGGGTGACCTCATTTTCCAGCCTGGATGACACAAGCACGCTCTGTCAGGACCCATGATTGGCAGTTTCAGAACTGATAAAACACAGACACCAGTTGTAAGGGAACTTCAATGATGATATATAAGTTGGAAACCCCTTTTTTACTGGATCCATAGAATTGGAATGAATTCCAAAGACTAAAGAGTAAGAGCTGACTGATTCCCAGGCCAAACACCCCAATGTCCTCTCAACTTTGGTAAATATTATCCAACTCTGGAGTAATCCATTGAAGCTTGCTATGTGTTTCAGTGTTCCAGCCACAGAGAAATGCTTGTTTCACAAGATACATGTCCCTGGAGCAAGCAGGAAAGTTTATTTTTATCTCTTCTTCTCCACTTGCTTTTTTTGGAGGGAAAACTTCCTGCATGAAACTCTAATACTCACCTTTGAATCTCACTTTCTTTCTCTTGGATTTGGAGAAGAAGTTCTTGATTTGCTTCATCTATTCTCTGCATATCCTTTTCAAGGTCCATGTTCAAACTGATAATATTCCTCTTTGACTGGGCCAATCTTAAGATTTCCATTTTCTCTGACCTATAGACTCAGCCCCCAAATGAACAAGGGCCCGTTATTTTTAAGATCAATAATCATTGGACCAAAGGGAATATCTAGAAGATATGTAGTTCATCAATTTCGCTTTTTCTGGGAGCATATTTTTCACTCTTGAGAAATTATATTTCTTAAATCATGCTTTACAATTTGTTTCAATAATTCTCAAGGGACAGCTTTCCTAGGCTTTCCACCCCTAAATGCTAAAGATAATAGTGCACCTCCACTCTGGTTTAATGAGAAGCTTTGCTTCCGTAAATAGGCTCTTATACTGGAGAGAATTGTTTCCCTTGGCAACCTTTTCTTAAATTGTTCACAAAGCCTGCTCATGCAATATACTTTTATTAAGTATTTTTATCTAGGCACCTGGTTCATCACTTCAGTTTGGGCCTGGATTTATGCAGAGACAAATGATATTTCCACCAGCATGCTAGGGCTCAGTCTTTCCCCTTTCTCCTACCTCCACTTCTCTTCCACTTGCCTACCAGAATGTGTGAGATTCTACCACGAAAACCATTCCATTGAGCAAATGCAGATTTGCTCCAAGTACAGAATAATAAACATCTTTTTTTGAAATAAATTTGAATGAGATAATGATAACTTTGGAATAGTCTAGAAAGTGTCCCTGGCACATGGGAGGCTTTCAATAAACTTCTATGTAAATTGATTTGTTGTTTGTTTTTGAATTATTTAAGTGGGAATAGAGTAGGAAGGCTCAGGGACTTCTGTTTTGAGTAGGAATGAAGCATGGTCTTGGAAAACAAAGTCCTATCTTGGGAGGACTGGTTTGGATGGGAAAGTTATAATAGTTCTCTAAATTAAGGAATGAAGTGCTTGGGAAGGGTGTAGTGAAGATGGATGGATGGAACAAGGATGGAAAGGGAGAGTAGAGTAGAGGACAAATGAAGGTATCAGTATCAGAACAGATTCATGTCTTGATCCCTGGATGGAGCCCTCATATTCACGATTACTTACTCATAATCTAGCTGTTCTTCCTTGCATTCTTCCATTGTAGATAACCTAAAGTTTCAGTAGAGATATTTCTAATGAATTGGGGAAACGGATCCATTCACAGAACACAGTGAGATGGGGGTTCCCCCAAGTAAGAAAACTAAAATTAACTTTTTCTCCCTTCAATACCCCTAATTTGGCCACAATAAAGCCCTGTTTCTTCTGCCAGAGTAAGGAAACCATGTGGATACAGGCTCAATGCTGGAAAAGCCAATATACATCCTGCCAGCAGATACGTTCACCGATGGCTTAGCATACACATCCATTTTGAAATTTATACAAGATTTAGGAAGAAATAGAGGTTATCAATTGTTCTTAAGTCTCTTTTTTTTTTCTCTAAACACAGTTGCTTTCTTTAAGGCCCCAAGGACATGGATGTATATGTATCACTGTCCTGAACAGTCATCTCTGCTCTCTTTCCTGGCCTCACAAGAGTTTCCAGATATTAAGATTGTTAAACAGATTATTAAAAAGGGCTTGGGAAAGCAAGTTGAAGTAAACTATTTGGCTCTCTCCATCCCTTGGTTCTTTCTTTTTCTCTATTTCTTCTATAACTCTACCTTGCTTCTGGTGTATATTGTCTTCCTGATCCTGCCCTAGTCAATTAGCTTCTGAAGAGTCTAATCTTTTCCCACTGGAATCATCCAATAGGATCTCAGAACCTTCTGAGGATGCAATGATTCTGCCATTGCCATTGGATGGCTGGGGTAGCATGTCACAATGGGATGGTGGCAATGGATTCTCATCATTTGTGCAGAGTCAGTGCTTCTTCCCTTCCATGAGTGCCTGGCTTTCACGGCCAAGTCCACCCTAATCAGCTGTAGGTTCAGTGGACCTAACTTCTAGGTCATACAAAGGGGAAGCCTGTCTTTTATTTCTCTGGCTTCATTCTTTTCAACTGTGACTAAAATGGGAATTCTGGGTGTTGTGGCCAGCAGAATGAGTCTAACTACTCATCCATTCAGCAAACTTCAAAACACCAAAATATCCCCTTGTTTTCCAGGCACTGTCTGAACAGTAGGGGGAAAGAGTGAAAAGAATAGACAAAAGCACCTGCCCTTGTGGAGTTTATACTCTAAGGGGTGTGTGTGGTGGTAGCGGTGATAAAGGGATGCAAGGGAGCCATCAATAGAATAAGCAAGTCAGTTAATTTTACTTCATATTAGAAGGAGAATTCTGTGAAGAAACAAATGAAGAGAGTGAGAGGGAAGGTGGTGTGTGTGTGTGTGTGTGTGTGTGTGTGTGTGTGTGTAATTTTAAACTGGGTTGTTCAAAGAAAGTGGCTGAACATTTCTGAGAGGGATTTGGATGAGGAGAGAGATACTGAGTCTTAAGGAAATGCCCAAGAGCCGTGGAGAGGCAGAAAACACAGTTGTAAATTTTGAGTGCCTTGTCCTTGGCCCATGCCCTCGTAAACGAGGGAAATGTGCAAGCACAGGGAAAACTGGCATGAAATTGAGTGGCTCCATTCTGGCTCTACCTCCAGTCTGGCCCCTAACTACAACCCTTCTATAAATATTGGACCCTCAGCCCAAGAAGGGGCTTCTCTTTCTCCAGATAGCTTGAATTCTTCCTTGAATGTGTACCTACTTTCCTGAATAAACCTCTGTCTGCCTTTGACTGGCATGTGCTAAAATTCTTTTCCATCATGGTTGTCAAGAAACCCTTTGTTCCTGAGTTGAGTTTCTCCTCCCTTCTGGAAACTCCTCGGACGCTTTCCCAGAGACAGCTCTTCTCCCATGGCATTCCCAGACCTGAAAGTGGACTATAGATGTGTGAAGAGGCTTGGTGGACAAGAGAAGACTTTGGGGTGTGCCAAGGTGGACAGAGTCCAGCAGATCCAGGAGTACCCCGAGGAGGCACAGAGACTCAAAACTTTTTCTTCAAGGGCTTGTGAATATGAAGCTTTTCCCTGCACCTGCCACGATCCTGAAAGAGGAGAGATACTGCAGAGGGAGAATTGCCCCAAAACATGGAAAAATTACCTAAAAGAAATTTTTATTAGAAGCATCTGTGTTATCTTGAGTTAGCTCAATGGGGTCTCTTCTTGCCAACTTTAGGAGATCAGTTACAGAATATAAAGAATATATTTCTGTAAACCTGAATGGATATACATTTTGGCCAGATTTTGTACAGTTTAGAACTTGTTGTGAGTCCAAGTCACAGAAACCTGTGATGTTGCAGTTCTCTACTTTAATGAGGAGCACATTGAGTTGATTTGTGAGCCAGAGTGACTTCTTAACATACTGTAGTTTCTAACAAACTATTTGTAAAATTAATGGCCTCTGATGACCCCCATTACCATTCCCTTCTTCCTGAAAGAAGGCATTTCATTGCTTTATGAAGCTGTACACAGAAGAGTAATTAAGTAACAATTCAGGCCAATGGCCTCTCCTAGGAATTAATGGTAGGGAGAGTTCATTAACCCCAGCTGGTTATAGCTTCTCCAGGAAATGCCCTGGACCAAGGTTATCTAGCTGTTAATGGATTGGATAGGGACTTTAACTGGGATAAAAATAAAGCTCCATTTCCTTCCTGGGGAGCATTTCTCCTTGAGGGGCTACCAAAGGCAAGCTGGCAGGAGCAGTAAGAACCTCAAGCCTAGGGCCCTGCATGGATGAGGACAACAGATTGCTACCAGCGAGAATTGTTAAATCAAGGTAAAAACAGGGCCTATGGGGCAAATTAAGGTCTTTGATATAAGTCTTCCTGCAGTTTGGGAGATGGCTTGATTAACACCTAGGGCAGCTTTGGAGCAGCTGTTTGCCTTGTTAACTTTTTATGCCAGTCTCTGCCTAGTATGGGAGTGTGGCTGAGAATCATTGTCTGTTTCACTGGTTCCTGCCTGGGAAAGCTGTAGTTGTGTAGAACTTTCGGGGAAACACCTGCTTCATTCCAGGGTGGACACTCCAGCTCTGCTGGGACTTTGCATCTTTGCTGCATTGGAACTGGCCAATTCCATCTGAGCCCTTTGTGGAAATTGTCCAGGCTTAGGCCCCTCCAGCTATGTTGGAGGATAAAGAGCTACTTCCTCTGCTTACCTGCCTAATCTCACTTTGAATGAATGGCAAATTCACCTTGGTTATGGATATTATAAATTTATGAATTCATTTATTTATAAGCCAGCCTGGTTTTAGAGTTCACCGCCAGGTGAGGCTCTAGAACCTCATTTTAGATCATTGTTCTTTGAATCCAGATTCAAATACACTGTTTTCCTTATGTCTTGCCTTATTCTTAGTGACTATTTTTATACAAACTTTAGGTCCCAAGAATTTCTTTGAAATTCTTCTTAGAATACAATTCCCCTAGCATTTTCAAAAACAGAAACTTGAACTACACTGAAAAGTAAAATACAGACACACACAGAGAGTATATACCCACGAGCTAATATTCTCACTTGACCCAGTTTTTTTCCTTAATTATATGCAAGTCAAAATTCAGATTTAATAAAATTTGATATCCCATAAATGATGGTAGTTTGAAAAATTATTCATGTTTTCTTTTAAAATTAGATGTTTTAAATTTTGTTGAATCATTGCTATCATCGAAGCAATAAAGAACTAAGAGATGAAAATTCATTAAGTTTCTTACTCATAGCAAAAAAAAGTATTTTTTTGTTTTCTTTTTTTCTATTAATCCATTTCTTACAGTTATCATAGAATATTGTTGAGGTTTTCCTTTTCATTTAACATTTTTATAAACATTTCCTGGTTGCTAAATATACTCAATATTATTTCAATGACTGCACAAAATTCCGCTGAGTAGCAAATAGTCATTATTTAACTTTTATTTTTTTTTAACCACACTACTTATCTGTTTACCTGTCTGTCTCCTCAATTAGACTTCAAACTTTGAGGGTCCAGAATTGCCTCCCTGAGTTTGCTGGGGCTACCATGACAAGGTACTACAGACAGCAGCTTAAACAACAGAAATTTCTTTTCTCCCAGTCTGGAAGTAGGAAGTCCAAGATCTCCATGTTGGCAGGGTTGTTTCTTTTGAGGCCTCTTTGTAATCTGTAGATTCTTTTTTTCTTATGTTCTCACATGGTCACAGTTTGTGTCTATGTCCTCATCTTCTTCTCTTATAAGGACACCAGGCATGTTGGATAACCCACCAGTAAGACTTCATTTTTACTTAATTTCCTCTTTAAAGGACCTGTCTCCAGAAACAGTCACATTCTGAATTCCTGGGGTTAGGACTCTGAGGAGGAAGGGGTTACACCTCAGACCTTAACAGCACTTACATTTTCTTTTTACTTCCCTGTGCTTGGAACACATGAAGTACTCAATGAATATTTAGCAATGGTTGAGTTTATGAACATTCATTTGGTTCCCTTCATCTCTGGTAAAATCACGTTAAAAAATGCTTGTGGGGAACTAGGGGTTTTGCTCAGTGGTAGAGTATGTGCTTAGCATGCATGAGGTCCTGGGTTCAATCTCTGCCATGCATCCCAAAAAGACTGTTTGCATAATCATTCCATTGTTCAGCATAACCAAAATATTAAAAGATACTTACCATCTTTGAATATKTATTCAAAATAAAAAAGGTGAGAAAAATAAGGACAAGAGGAAGTGAATGTTTTGCTGGGATTACAAGAAAAGATTTAAAAATCTTCTATACATATGATGGTACTTCTCAAAATTTTCTGGTTCATTCTTCTGTGAGTCTGAAAAAGTGAAATACAAAAAGAGTGTTTCTTCAACTGTAGCATGGAGTGGTTATTGTTATATAACGGAGTAGTCAGTTATTCAGTGTACACTTTATATTAGTACCTATGTTGTTTTTTTTTTTTCAATAGGATCGTTTCTTCTGAGGTACCAATGCTTGTTAACTACTTTAATTGATCTTTGCTTTATTTAAATTTTTCTTCTAGTTTTTATTTATTAGATTTGCAATTAGAAAGATGTCATTAAACAAAAGATTCCTCAAAAAGATGCCTAGAGCCTCTGTGTGCAAACTCTTGTAAAAAATTCTCACTGGGGGCTGGGAGTATGGTTCA